GGGTTATTTACTAATAGTTTATTATAATTTTGACAGAATTTAGACAGTCACTAAGGGATTTCGGCAAGCAACCTTAGGTACAACTCGTGTTATAACACAAATAATCAATTTTAAAGACAAAATTGGTAACGATAATGCATAATAATGTACGTAAATACATGTAATTGGAAATCATAATTTTCACGTGAAAAACATACAAATGATATAGCGCTACGTACTCTGTTATTCAACAAAAAAGTTAATATTGATAATAATCAAGAAACCATTATCAATATAAAGTTTAATAACTCTGATAGTGATGATGATAATACTTCAATTGCTTCACGTAGTATCTACGAATTCAACTAATCAAAGTACAACTTCAACTACTCCAACAAAAAATCAACATGCAATGAAAAACAAAACCAAAGTCTAGTTATGACATCACCGTCATCATTGTTATATATTTTTTGTGCTCAAGAATCGATTTTTGGTTGAAAATCGATTCCTATCCCTATCGCTATATCCAATTCTTTCACAATTATTGCCATATCAGTTCCACCTGAATGTCTATTTTCAGATGTGAGAAACTTAATTACACACGAACGAAATCGAAAATAACTGTTTATATAGTAGAACTTGAGAATTGATTCCTATCTCTACTTTAAATAATCAATCTTTCATACATACACAACAACACGAGACACAATTTTTTAGGTTCCTACTCCTTTATATTCTTTCTATCCTACTTCTCCTATCCTACTCCTAGGTTTCTGTTCATCATGATCGCCATGAGTTACTTAAATGTCTGATCCTGGACTTTTTTATCTGATGCAAATTTTGACGCGTTCTTCTCACTTTTTTACCTCTGAAAATGATTCATAAAAAAAATCTTTCTAAAGCAAGGCTTATTCAAAAAAAAATGTCAATGGACAGCTCATGAAAAATTGTTCATTCTAACTTACCTTGAAAAAGTTCCAGGTGACTCTGTTTGTGAAATGGCTGACAAGTTTCATTTAGAGCCCAAACAAATTCAGGATTGGTGTAATAAAAACAATAACTAATGCTCACCCAACCCCACATAAAACGTCTTCATATTGGTTCACGTCCTCATTATCCTGAAATTGAAGACGAGCTTATAAAATGGATTAAAAATCTTCATCGCGAACAGAAAGTTGTTAGCTGATTAATAATTCAAATAAAAGCATCCACCTTGGCCAAAAATATGAAATATATCACTCAATATTCGATGATTGGCTCCTTTAAATGGAGTAATAAGTGGCTGGATAGCTTTATGCATCATTTTAGACTTAGTAATTGTCGAAGAATAACCGTCGCCCAAAGATTATCAAAGGATCTTGAAGAAAAATGGCAAGAATTTGTTAGTTTTGTTCACCATAGATGACTTAAACATGACTATCCTCCATCTTTGATAGGAAACATAAATAAAATGTCACTCATCTTTGATCTGCCAAGCAACACCATTGTAGACGAAACAGGAAATAGAACAATTTCCATCAGAACCTGTGATTACGAAAAATCAGAATTTACTATTGTTCTTGCTTGTATGGCAGATGGAAAAAAGTTACCACCTATGATCATTTTCAAACTCAAAAATATTCCACGCCTTATTTTTCCTTCAGGAGTAATAATTCGGGTTAATAAAAAGAGTTGGATGAATACTGAAGAAATGCTTTATTGGACGGAAAATGTGTGGGATAGATGTATCATTTCAAGAAATCCATGATCTTTATTAGTAATGGATTCTTTTAGAGGACATCTCATTCCAGTTGTTAAAAGCCAATTTATTGAAAAAAACACAGACCTGGTCATTATTTCTGGTGGGTTAACCTCAAAAGTTCAGCCGCTCGATGTGTCAATCAATAAATCTTTTAAAGCAAAAGTTAGTATCTCATTTTTTCTTTTTTTTTGCTCACCCTCCACACCCTCACGATTATTTTTCTTGTTCACTATTTGCTATTCGTCCTCCACACCCTTACAATTACAAATCTTTCTTGTTCACTATTCGCCCTTCACATCTTTAACATCATATTCATTGTCATGATAACTAATTATTTTTTATTTAATTTAGATTAGAGTGATTTATAATGATTGGATGGCAGAAGAAGTAAAGACTCTGACACCTACTGGTTGTATTCAACGTCCCACATATAATGTTATTGCAGAATGAATTAAAGTGGCATGGGAGGCAATTGATCCACAACTTATTCAGCATTCTTTTAAATATTGCGGTATATCTGTTGTTATGGATAGGTTAAAAGAAAACCTGATTTTTGACTATGATAGAGTTGAGATAACAAAATTGCGAACAAGTAATTATATTTATGACAATGACGAAGGTGGTGATGATGAAGGTGACGATGATGGTGATAACGAAGATGATGATGATGGTGATAATAAAGGTGATGATGATGGTGATAACGAAGATGATAATGATGGTAATGATAAGGGTGGCAATGATAATGATAAGGGTGGAGATGATAATTTTGAAGAAGGATCAAGTACCCAAAAAGAGAAGATGATTAATATAGAATTTTTAGAACCCTATATAGAAACAGAAAATTTAGAGGAATTTGAGAGTTATTATACATCCCAAGAAATGAGTAATTTTATTAATCAATGGGACTGATTTGTAAAATTTTCAAATTTGTTCTAATAAAAACTTTATTT